CACCTTTTCAAGTTTATCATGTGTGTAGTAGTCTCATTGCAAGGAAAATGGAGTCCCCGGAGTTAAGCATCATACTTCAAATATCCACCACCTATTACAAGTGGTATAAATCAAATTGATTTCCACATGTGGTATTTCTAAACCAATATCATCATATTGATTTCACTTTGGTATTTATATGCTTTCTCCATGCATTATATAGGTTAAACTCCTTTGAGCATTAATTTGCCCATTATGCATAAACTTCATTCTCCATCATATGTATGCATATATTTAGGGGGGACTTAATCTACGTAATGTGAGAGTCAAAATTGGTGACCTATTCTACTCCACATATAAAGGATCACCAAGTTTGACCCTCCCTTGTGCTACTAATATCTTTCTTTTTAGTGTTTGATTTCCAAGGGGGAGAATTTGTAGGACCAAAAGTAAGCTCGATCATAATAATTTACAAGTGGTAATGGTTCGAGAAAGGGAGGATAGTGGATTATGAATTAGTCTATGTAATGGAGAGAATTTGTAGGACCAAAAGCGAGGCTTAAATCCATAATGCCACATGGGGACATTTGCAAGGGCAAGATAAGTTTCCAAAGATGTTTACATGTGGTACCTTTTAGGTTTACAATTAGTATCTTCAATTGGTATCTTTTAGCATCATATAACCTTCCCCTTTGCATTGCATCCTAGCAAGTAAATAGTTTTTAAATTCTAAATTTTTTATTATTTGTTTGTTTTGGTCGTGTTGTCATCAATCACCAAAAAGGGGGAGATTGTAAAAAAAATGGACCCTAGGCCTATTTACTTTGGATTTTGGTGTTTGATGACCAACACAACTAAATTGGACTAATAAATTTGCAAGTGATTGTTTTATAGTTCAATAGGGTGCAGCACGACTAGGCTAGAGGCCATTTCGCAAGAGGATATCCATATTTGGTTGTCATTGAAACCTCACAGCTACTAACTTGTTAAGGGAACTCTGCAAAGCCTTGTAGTGAAATCCTGCTGACTCACATTGGAAGTGAGTACAAAGGTTGGTCGCCTCATGAAACTGAGGATCACGACTCATGGATAAAGTTATATGACCTCTGTTTTCTCAATCATGTTTTTGGTAATGAGAGCCGGCATGAATCATTTTGTATTAGATGATTATCATGGATAGTTTGAGCTATGTGTTAATCATGATGTTAATTGTTTCTATTCACATGGGCGCTCTACGAATAATCTAGCGACTTAGGCTTAATAAATAAAATATGACCAACTAAAAGTCCTTACTGCAGTATATATAGCCGTGTCAAGCCTTTTGAACTTTGTGTAAGCTCGTGTTATATTTGTTTCCCATATTCAACAAAACCCTAGAGTGGATAGACGGAGGATTTAAAGGAGTCACATGAGTGCCATGTGCTCCCATATCAAATGGACCTCATGGAGAATAGAGACCAAAGCGAAAATTAAGGACCATTTCCATTGTGTGGTTTTTAAAATATAGAAAATGAGAGACATGATAGGTAGGAGGGTTAGTTTTGGTCGTCTCTTTGGCCCCGTTCGCTGGTCTGAAACTTGACTGAAAAATACTGTTCCGGCTGGTTTGTTGTGAGAGAAAAACACTGTAGCGGCTAAAAACTGGCTGAATCTCCAGAGGAGAACCAGCCGGCTGGTTCGCTGGAACCAGACCAGCGAACAAGGCCTTTATCTCTATTGGTGCTGAGTTTGATCAACTAGTTCAATGTCTAGCTAAAAAAATAGCTCACCCATTAATCATCTTATCTTATTATTGCTAATTTTGAACCGTAATTGTTAGCCATGGATCAAACAGGACCTTATTCGCGCCGTAATGTTTAACGCGGTGAAATTGGGTGAAAATCAGCATGACTGATTTATACACTGCCACGCTGCCCGATCGTAAACGTTTCCTTTTATATACTGGGTGTTCATGTTCAAGAGGTCGTGGCCTCGCGCCAGCCAACCACGCAACCGCCTGCTTCACCCATCTTCTTCAGGTCCTTGGCGGGCCCACAGCTCAGTGACCGCACAAACGCACGCGAGTCCTGAGCGGAGAGGGAGGAAGCCCGGACGACGATGCTCTCGACGGCTTCGGCGCCCTCCACCTCGCTCGCCGCGGCCTTCCGCTCCTCCCGCGCGCGCCGCCGGCGCCGCGCCCTCTGGCTGCGCCCCGTCGCCTCTGCCTCCGCCGCCGCGTCCGGGGTCGGGGACGGAGGGGCGGAGCGGTTCGCCACCAGCAGCTCCATCACTGACTACCTCCGCTACCGCCGCCCTGAGCTTGGCGGTGGCGGTGCCGGAGGCGGAGGCGGGGTGCCCGGCGGGGAGCTGCAGACGGCGGTGGTGCGCTTCAAGAAGCGCTTCCCGTGGTCGCTCATCCACCCCTTTCTCCACGTGAGTCTCCGGCCTCTTTGTGCATGAGTCGCTCGCCTGCCTCCGTCGACACTCAAATCCTATGTGCCAGCGTGAATTGCACAAAAATGTTGTTATGCAAATAAGAAATGCACAAAATGAATGTTGATCCCCGCCGATTAATTGCTCGTGTCACAACATTTCCAACATTAATTGCTTCAACTTGTTGATCGCCTGTGAACTTCTCTGCAGAATGACTAGTAGTCATAATGTTGAATTTCCTGCGTTATCCTTTAACAATAAATAAATAGGGAGATTAGCTTAAATCTTGTTTCCATTACAATGCCTCGATTTTGTGGGCTTCCATCCGCAACACCACATTGGAAGTTTCAGCTTGCTGAAATTTTTTGTCTGAAGACTTAGCTTGGCTTGCATTTACATTAACTTTGTTTCCCCATTGAACTTCTTTGTTTCCCCATTGAACTTCAACCGACTGCCTTTTTCACTATGCTCTGGTGAGTTGCAGTGATATGGAATGAAAGTGTGCATCATCTGTATAGCATTTCCATAAGTTTGTTGACTGTCACTTAGCTGATAGAAGGATCCAATAGGTGCAAAACAGTGTTTATTTGAGTCAATTCCCTAAAACTTCTTTTAATGAACTTTCTCTAGTTTCTAATCAATTCTTAACTCCTGTTATGCTGCAGGTTGATTTGGTTTCTACAGTCCACATTGCAGACAAAGAGTATGTGCCTTTTGCCCTGTTTCATGTTAAAGTATTATTTTCTCACATTAAGTGTTGCTGCCATGTTGGTGTACATTTCCTGTGCATTATCATCGTTCACTTACTCAAACATCCCGCCGTTCATGAGTGTTTATAGCTACTATTACTATAGTGAATTGGCTGAGATCTGCAATTTTTCTTCAGATACTTTGATAGACTGCAGCAAGAGCTTGAAGATTATGACTGTGTCCTGTATGAAATGGTTACAAGTCGGGAGAATTTGAACAATCCGAAAGGTCCAATGGCTGCTAAGAAGATGAAATCTTTGCGTAGAGGATTCAGTATTCTTGGTTTCATACAGAAGCAAATGGCTCGGATCCTTTCTTTGGATTATCAGTTAGACTGTCTTGATTATGGCAATGAGAAATGGCAACATGCTGACCTTGACTATGAAACATTCAAGCAGCTTCAGGTAATAATGTTATTTAGTCATGTCATTAATCTCTTGCTTTTTGAAATGTTTGGTCACCACGTTAGTTACGAAAATGGTGTTGCATGGTAACTACTGTTTGCCTTGTCATTACTGGGTATGGAGTATTGGAGTGTGAACCATTTAACATTCATGTTCCCTGATTTGCAACTCATGTTTTCCTAATTGTATACCCTGGTCATTTTTATTAGAGTATATTTTAACTGCAGTGCCTTTTTTCATCCAGAGTGAAAGAGGTGAAAGTATTCTCACGTTTGCCGTAGACATGACACTGAAATCAATCAAAGCCTTGGTGCAACCAAGTAACATGCCAGATGGTCTTGACTTTTGGAGATCGAAGTTACTATGGGCCTCACGTGTGCTACCAATGCCGCTTGTTGGGCTACTCGTCATCACTGGGCTGTGTCTGCCAGTGGAAAACCAAGATGGATTTCCTGAGCTGGAGGCATTGTCTAGGCTAGATTTTGGAGCTGCACTGAAGATTTTCTTGGCAAAGCAACTGACATCTGAGTGAGTAATCTGAAACCAATCAGGCAAATAAGTTTTTAAGTAAAGTATTCTCTGATTTTCTTTTCCTTTTTTGTTTTATTAAAGATTCACAGCTGTGCTTACACCCGTTGAGGAGAAATCAGTTATCATTGGGGAGAGGAACAGAGTTGCTACTGAGAAGATTAAGGAAGCAATAAACCGTGGGTACAAGAGAATAGCAGTCCTCTATGGCGGCGGACACATGCCAGACCTGGGAAGACGTCTTCGAGAAGAGCTCAATATGGTCCCAGCCGACGTGCAGTGGGTCACCGCATGGTCAATAAGAAGCCGGGAGATAGACAGCAAATCCCTTCCGTTCTTGAAGACATTGGCTGAGGCTTCAGGCTGGCCTTTGAATAGATACGAGACGCTTGCTCTGCTCATCTTCTCTTCAGTTCTCGCGGTGGATCTTTGGTTCTGGGAACTTTTCTTTGGTACTGCAGTGAGTTGGGCATCTCTAGCTGGTTCCTGGATTGACCAGCTTAGCGGTTCATTTTGACCAACAACCACGAAGGGAGGCAGACAGAAACCTAGTGGCACACTACTATACAAATAGCAGTATAAAGAAAATAGAATAATCCACTTTAGTTTTGATTGGTCCAGCTTTTGCTGGAGTACTGCAACAAACCATTGTAGATAAAACATTTCATTTCCATCAGATTGAAATGAGATTGGTGGTAAAGGTGATGTGCTTTCTCTAGTCTTCTGATTGGGTTTTGCTGAATGATGTTTTGGCTCGGCAGATATAGTTTACTACTACAAACTGGCCATTATATTTATTTATTTCTTCTTACAATGTCATACAGGATGATCAAGGGTAGGGGTAGATATAATAAGTAGCCTTGATGCTACAAGGCGATATCATGCCTGGGACTTCGGCAGACCCTGTCCTTACATATTCTGTTCTAGTTAGATGATATCACTGAGGGCTGATGCTATGTTGTCCAGAGGCTCCTTGTGCTGGTTCTGCCCCAGGGCAGCAGCGCAGGCACCCACAAATGCTGCGTTGATGTACGTTGCTGGCTCGGGGTGCGTGGAGTCCTCCCTGCTGTCACTGAAGTGGTCGTTCCCGTCAGTTCCGCCAACGATGGCGCCGACATGGGTGTTGGGGTTGGGGTTGCTGGTCGGGAACCATGACGAGAAGCCCTCGTTGCAGGTGACCTTCCTGGGGAGAGCCTTGATCGAGGGGATGGAGGAGCCGCGGTGGTGAATGTGCCTTGGGAACTTGGAGCTGAAGCCGACCATGTACGACATGCCCTTCGGATTGTCTCCCAGGATGTTATCCACCTGAAATTAACCCCCAACGAAGGATGCCGGGTATTGTAATCCGGCAAAAACCAAGAAACGAGTGGGGAGAAGTAGTAGTATGTGTGTTCTGTTCTTTACCTGTGACGTTGCGAATGAACTGATCTGATCTGGAGAGAAGCTTGCGGCGCTGCACTGGACTACTTGGTCGCCTACAGAAGTCAGGGTCTTTGAGTAGATTGACAGCAGCAGGGCTGCGGTTGTTGTGTACTGCAGGTTGACAGAATCGCGGGTAAAGAGAAGCCCTCCTGCAGTGTGAGGATCGGAAAATCTTGTCAAGCAAACCATACTTGTGTAGTGATCATCTGCCCAGATCATTTGAAGTTGATTCATAATCATACACATACCAGGGGTGGTGCGTATCTGTGTATTGCCTCTGTTGGGCATGACAGCGCAGACGAAAGAGTCCAGGCCCCTCTTGTAGCCTTCCAGCTCTGTCCTTCCACCCAAGTACTCCTGAAAGAGACATTAGTAAGATGATCAGCTGTCGATGCATGCACATGCACGTCTTTCAGAGGTAAGTTCATCAAGTTAGTTATTGATGAGTTGGGACATAGGATGTGCAAGATGAGCGAGTAACGTAACCTGTGTTGCAAGCAGCTGAGCTCCGGGATACTTGTTGTCCCAGCTGAACTCGGTCGCGCTGCCGCCCTGGTTGTTCTGCAGGAAGTCGAGGTATTTGCTGTCCTTGGTTGCCCGGTACAGCCATGCCGACGCCCACTGGAGCTCGTCCTGGTAGATCAAGTGTGTTCTTGCAGATCAAGTGTGTGTTCACACTTGACACTATATATGCTAAAGACGAATTGTGATTCATTCGACGGTTAATGTAATCCACCTGGTAGCCTGAGTAGGAGCAGTAGAATGAGCAGGACAACTGGTAGGATCCCCTGTAGTTGTTGGCGAAGTCGAAGAGCTGATGTTGGTCATCATGGAGTAAACAACAGTTACTACTATTCAGAAAACAGCACATGCATTCAATTCAAGGAAATTTGGTTTTGTTGTTATCTATGAATATTTGTCAGATGGACTAAAGTTAGAAATATCGGTATGAAAGTTTTAGCTTTCCAGAACAAAAGAAAAAAAAAGGATCTGTCTATTTGGAACTTGGGTGATTTGACCTATTTGAACGCTCAAGCAATTTCAAAGCACAAATCACACAAATGAGACAAAAAGCAAAATTTGTGTGATGGAAGCCTGATGCTCACATGAGTAATCCTCCAATACAAAACAGACAAATAACCAAATAGAAAAATTCAAGTGAAACATAGCAGAATTTCACTCGGATTATCAGATAACACCATCCACACCTTCGCGCAATCACCACTACAAACATTGGAACAAAACATAATTAAAATAAAAACAAAAAAACAGAAATTTTCTATGAAATACAAAATCACAAAAATTCTGAGGGAACTACCATAAACAAACATACCAAACAACAGATTTCAAATATCAAAAACCAGAAATTTTCTATGAATTGCAAAAAAAAAAAACAAAAATACTGAGGGAACTGCCATAAACAAACATACCAAAAAAACATAATTTCAAATAACAAAAACCAGAATTTTTTTATGAAATGCAAAACAAAAAAAAATCTGAGGGAACTGCCTACAACAAACATACCAAAAAAATTAAAAAAACAAAAACCAGAAATTTTCTATGAAATGCAAAATCACAAAAAATCTGAGGGAACTACGTGAAACAAACAAACCAAAAAACAAAATTTGAAAAAAAAATCTATGAAAGGCAAAATAACTGTTGCACGACACCTAGTGTAGAAGATTATAACTGCTGCACGGCAGCAGATGGGAGATAAAATGTATGGAGCCCAAAAATGTTTCAGCTGTCTTATGAAAATAGACAGATGGGATGATGAAAAACAAGGCCTAATTGTACATTGAAACAATCAAATAAAAGACTGATAAACAACTACAAGGAATCTTACTACAAGAAACTGATCAAAGATTGACAGATTAAAGACTGAACAACATAGGAGGTCAAACCAACTGAGATCATAGCAACATCTAGATTTTACTAAAGCAAAAATGCACAATGCCATGGATCACGATGAATTTCATATAAAACAAATGGATCCAAATGAGCTAAAAAGCTGGATGGCATGAAACAAACGAAAAAACAACACCGATAACCTCTCGCTCGACCAAACAAACAAGAACAACACCTCTGGACAAAAAAAAAACAAACACAGGACAAGAAAAATATGCATAGAGAATTCCGCAATATGCCGAGCGTCTAAAGAGATCAAAACTAAGCATAAAAGAGAAACATGTCCTGAAGGACATCAAAACAAAACTGAAAAACCTTTCAAAAAACAAAACTGAAAAACAATACAAATACAAAAACAGAATTTAAAAAAAATAAAAATGAATGAAATACTCACCAATGAAACCAAATTGACGCTGAAAAATGGCTGCGCCTCTGCCTCGACCTCCACATCAACCTGCACATCAGCCTACACATAGGAGAGGGGCCATGACCTGAAAAGTACCAACATATAAATGAAGCAAGATTTCAAATAATATCAAAAGCTTGTAATTTAACATTTCATAACACGGAAGGCATGAAACCAATTGTAAAGGATAAACTAAGTCAGCAAAGAAGAAAAGGATAACAGACAAACATCTCCAGAACACAAATATATATGAGTAGAGTAGTATCTCATATTCTGAAATGTCATGAATAACGCAAAATGACCATCAACAACCACATCCATCGACCAAAAAAAATCAGCACCGAAAACTACTCCATCTCTGCCTCCTCTCACATCCAGCTCAACCTCAGCATACTAGAAGAACAGAAACAATTATAATAAAAAAAGAGTTACATTCAAAGAAATGCATAATACACTTTATGCATATAGTACTAGTTACATCAATAATAGTTAGGAATTACACATCATTAACAACTATAAGTATAGATAACTGTAGTGTAACTAGGATACCTATAACCAGGAAACCATTATTTAGAGTTAGAGCATTAGGACAAATACTGAAGTATAAAAAAAAGAAAACTGACAGCTGGATTAACAAAAATCTAACCTAAATTGGAATAATTTTAGGAATACAGAGAACACAAATGGGATGATTTTATGAGTAGAGAAGTACCTCAGATTCTAAAAAATCACCAAAGACAAAGAAAGAACATCAACAACCGGTCCGCCAATCTCAACCTCTGTATGAACATCTGTAGAACTCAAATATCAACACAAGAAGAAGAAAAACAAGGAAAACTAAAAAAACGGGATAAACCGAAGAGAACAAAATCTAAACAAAAAAAATAGTCACGAAATATTACAAATCAAAAATTACAACGACAGTAGAAACATCTACAACTACTAATACAAAAAAAGAAAAAAGGCCAACTAAACAAAACTTTAAGTATAAATTGAAGTCTAGAATTAGTTACACCAATAATATCATAAAATTAGTGTAAGTGCACTATTATGAAAAGAATGGCCTCAGCGTTCCAAGCTTGGGAGTGCAATTCAAACAAGTTGAATCATAGGTGGTTGCACATGTAACAACAAATTTCAGAAGAACAGCAAGGTAAAGATCATGGCTGCCATGGAACCCTTCTGCCCATGCATTCACTGCCATCAGCCAAGTATGAAACTACTGCTGCTAGGGAATGGATGGGTCAGATGGCTTTGATGACAGTCATGAGAAACATAAGCAACAAAAAAACAAATAAGCACCCACCTCATATCTAAATTTTATGTTTTGTATCATAGGCCAAAAATAAAGCAAAAGGAAACATACTCCATTCAAAATATATTACCCAAATATAGGTCTAATGAAATTTTTTCAATTAATACTAGTTACATAAAAAATACATAGGAATTACACCTGATTAACCATTGTAAGTGTAGTAGAACTGTAGTGTAAGTGCAATATCAAGAGGAGTCAAACCTTCTAACTAGACTAACGAGACAGTAAAATGGAGGCTGAAAACGACTGCGCCTCCAACTTCACCTCTGCCTTGACCTACATCCAACAAAACAAACAACACCTGAATGGTCAACCAAGGAATAAAAAAACAAAGGAAAAAAATTCAAAACATACCTGAATTCAACTCGGATGACCAAAAAACAACAACAACCTTAACAAATTCACCACTACAAACATTGGAAAAATAAATAATTAAAATAAAAAAAGCAGAATGCAGAAATTTTAAAAGGATTGCAAATTCACCAGAGAGGACTGCCTGAAACACACATACCAAAAAAACAAAAAAGCAAATATCATAAACCATAAATTTTCTATGAAAGACAAAATCGCAAATATAATGAGGGAACTGCACCCAAACAAACATAACGAAAACCAAATTTCCAATATAGATAGCTAAACAAAAAAAAAATGAGGTCATTATATTAAACAAACAACTTAGTACTATATAAGTAATGAAGTTTTAGCACTTAGTAGTACTTACATAAATAATACCTATAAATTACACCTGATGAACAACTATAACTGAAGTAGAACTACACTATAACTATGATACCAATAACCAGGAAACCATTATTTAGAGCTAGAGTAGCAGCAAAATTCTAGAATATAACCAAAAAGACATAGAAGAAAACTGGAATACATTCAGAGAGAAACCGACTTACTTTTTCATCATCAGAACCACCATGGCCCTTCATAATACATATCTGCATCACAAAAATATTTGCATTAGAGCCAAAATGAGCTAAAATAGGTATAGAACCACTCAAAATTTCTGGAACCAGATTAAATCAATTATAATTCTCTAGTCTGAAAACAATAGGGATAAAGCAAGCCTATCACTGTCTACAAGTTTAATAAAGCAAGCCTTATACACAATTTACAAAAACCTATCACGCTTGAGGTTCAAGGAGATACACATGAAGCTTGAGGTCGCAAAAAATCACATGACTTGTGACGGCATGCACGTCTGGCTCTCTAGTGGGGTCTTCCCGAATTAAAAAATACTATTTTTTGGGACCTGATTTGTGATTTCTAAACAATGATTTTATCTAATGACTTATGATGGCACGTGTGTGGTTGCCTAGTTAGGTCTCCCTGAATTAAAAATAATAATATATTTTTAGGTCTAGATTTATAATTTGTGGACAACGATTTGTAGAGGCGGTTGTATTTAGAGCCGCCTAAAAAAATCTATTTTTAGGTCTAGATTTGTGATTTTGTGGACAACGATTTGTAGAGGCGGTTGTATTTAGAGCCGCCTCAAAAAAATCAATTTCTAGTGACGGCTCTTGTTCCTAGCCACCTCTAAAAATCTGATTTGTAGAGACAGCTTAATTTGTCCGGGTAGAAAAATAGAGAGGCCATCTCTATATAGACTTCCTAACCGCTTGTGTAGTAGTGCAAACAAGCGGATGGCGATGAACAAAATACAGAAGAGCACAATTAAAACTACTTTTAGAGTCTTGAGGGGTGATCCGGGCATTACTGTTCAAATATCTTTTTCCTGGCATTTTGCGACTTCATATAAATGGTCGTAAAAAATATTCTAATGCTATAGTATGCACCGGTGCATGACATTTCAATGCTTTTCTATCCACGTTTACGTTATATTATTATTAAATAATTTTAGTAAATATAGATGATAGATCAATATGTTACGTACTGGCTACACCAATGGGCACAATTACAACGGGTTGAAGCGAACACAGAAAGTATTCTACAAGTTTGTCAAGTGCTAGAGGTGGAGCCAATGAATTTTTATGCTTCCTTTGGATGGCCTCGTAACGTTAGAATTGAGTTTTGAGTTGGGTAAACATTTATGTAATAAGTGGACTGATTCTCTTCTTGACAAGAGATGAAGCTGTATATATTTTCATTATCTAAAAAAATGCTATGCAATATTTTTGTATAACTGGCCTCGTGTATGATTTTATTCCGGCGAGCGCGTACGTAATATAATACAATTACCGGGCGCCCAGCCCAGTGGTAAAACGGCATGAACGGCCCGCGCCGTTGTTGAGGAGCGCGAGCCGCTTCTGCAACTGGAGCCTGTAGCATGCAACTACATGCATGCAGTTGATGCTCGTAGGCGTGGACTGTGGACAGCTTGGGCGGCGATGGCTACTCGGACAAGAACGCACGAGCGAGAGGACAAATAGAAGAAACACGTGGCCTGTATCGATTTCATCTCCGGCCAATTCATTAAATAATAAGTCACATAATGAGGCAAAAATGTTTAAATGGATTAGAAAATTTCACGTCAAATTACCTAGTTAGCCTATATTTTTTAATAAAAAACAAAAATATCAACAAAAGATAGTTCTTGTACGTACGGTCCCTACATATTTAGTACTTCTCCCTCGCAATCTCCTATTTTTACTTTTTTTATTATAGCATTCGATCGTTCTAATGAACGTTCCATGTTTTTCCAACCACTGTAAAACTTAGAAAAAATGGTAATGCTCTAGTAAGGGCGTTTGGATGGATGGACACGGTTTCTTCACTCGCTACCGCGCGTCCGCTCGCTCCTGTCCATGCCCCTTACGAAAAAAATAATCTCTCTACTGTGCTTCACCTGCACCGCGCCACTCGATTGCACCGCACATCCGCCCGCCGTGGCCATCTGGACCGCGATGCCCGCTCGTTTGGCGGCCTCAACCGCGTTGCTCGCTCGCCGCGGCCGCCTCCACCGAGTCGGTGAGCCTCCACGATAGATGCTTCAGCAAGCAAGCTAGGGGAGGAGCTTCGTGTGACGTTGCCCCGCCGGCGAGTTGCCCGTGCCGCTACCGCACTGGCGAGCTCCATGCACGCCGCCGACCTACGCGCCAATGTCAAGCTCCACAACAAAAAAACCTCCATTGGTCCAAGCAGCAAGGTGACATTGCGTTGAAAGCGTATGTTTCAAGTATTTCAAATGTTTTCAGATGTTTCAACTGTTTCATATGGATGTTGCAAAAGTAGATCGGGATGTTGCAATAGCTATACACATTTGTTGTAAATGTATGTTACAAATGTTTCATCTGAATGTTGCATATGTTTCACACATATGTTGCAAGTGTTTTATTGGATGTTGCATAGGTTTTGCAATAGTTTTTCAAGTGTTTTTATGTGTTTTTGCTAGTGTTTCAGACGCATGTTTCAAGTGTTTCATCTGTCTTTAGACGTATGTTGCAATTGTTTTATTTGGATGTTTCAAAAGTAGATCGAGTTTTGCATATGCATGTTGCAATGGCGCTGGTGGTTGGCCACCTCCTTCCCCTTGTCCGCGAACTCCCTGACCAGCGCCACGGCCCTGTCGTGGGTCACCAGCTGCTCCGGCGTCCGGCCTCTCAGGACGGTGCAGTCGAAGGGGATGGCGACGTGGCCTCCCGAGATGACGCAGTCGAGGGCGATGGTGGCACGAGTGCGGGAAGCGGAGGTGGCGCGGGCGTCCGAACAGGAGGCGCGGGTTCGCGTGAAATGGAGCAGCAGGAACCGGAGTCCCGACGTAGGCGGCCACGTCCGGGTGCTAGCCACACGGTAAAAAAATAAAAATTAATTTTTGTTTGCCCAGATCCCAACAAAATTAAATACACAAAAAGTACTTCTCTGATTTCTTGTGTTGAGACAAAATGCCTACTGCACAGGTCGAACTAACAAACCAGAACAAGTACTCACACCATCCGACATGTGTTCTCTTCTCTACAGATACATCCAAAAAACATGAGTGAGCTAAAAAAGAAAAGACCGGCAATCTGTAATCAAATCAATGAGTAATGCAAACAATGCTTCTATCCTGACATTTCCCCCTTGTAAAAGACCATCACTGTACTTGATATGACAATAGAGGGAAAAGAAACGGAGGTGGGAATGCAGAGGTGTCGCACCATCCCATTATCACTGTACTCAAGGTCTCAAGTCCATGCAGGCATACATGAGTGTAACTGGAAAGGTAGCCTGCCCAACATGCTGAAACTGAAGATACAGAGGACACACAATTGAATTACAGGACTGAATGCAGATCTATCTCTGTATGTACACAGGCATATTGGCGCGGGGCGTCTGTATCCATTTATAATAAACTTTGAAAATTTACATTTTACAGAAACTATTTTGGGACATGATTTGCTTGTCCAATGGACCAAACGGTAACAGTTTTTTCTTCTTTGTCTCTTGAAGGAGTTACACTATGATCAATCTGATCATTCTGTACTTTGGTTTTCTCTGGTTGGCCAAGGCCCTTCCTCAACCTGTTCGGTTGGCTTGTGCTTGTCGTAAACGATCGTAAATTTCTAGCCGGAACAGTATTTTTCTCTCACACCAAACCAGCCAGCAGTACTTCTTCACGAACCAGCAACGAACAAGCCCAGCCAAACGAACAGGCTTTCCTTCAGAAAAACAAAAGTAGTCAAGATCAAACTACTGTTCTTGTTTCCTCATCTCCAAAAATAAATCCAATTTCGTTACACAAATCGCTGGAGCTGGAAAGCAATAATAAACCAGATGATGAGAGGAAATGTGCAAGCCACCAAAGTTTGAAAGCTGAACTGAAGACGAGAAAACGAAATCTTGACGAAGAAGAAGATATGGGCTGGGCATGCACGGTCGCTGGCTGCAGTGCTGCACTGTACCCAAGTCATCTATCTATACTTCTCCGTTGGCAATGAGGATTGCTGGATTTGTAGATAGATACAGTACATTGCAAGCGAAACAAACAGGAGGCAAGGAATTCGCATTGGTAATATATTGACCCGCCATTACGATTCCGATGGCTGTGTTTCTGCAGTATGCACGTACGTGATGACCTTTTGGGTGGGTTTGTGTAGTCGTGTTCATCATACGGCTCTTCATAAATTGCAGTATGACCATAATTTTCAGAAAGAAAAAAAAACACCACACGCAAGCCCCGGACACACGAATTAGTGGTTATATATCGTCTATTCATATATACCAGGTCAACTGGAGGAGCAGGAAAATGATTAGACGGCTTTAGAACAAAAAAAAAATCAGAAATCAGACGGAAGAACAGCACAGACATAATAATAGTAATTAGAATTAAAAAGAAAGTAAAAGAATCAGACGGAAGAACAGCACAGACATAGAAAAAAACACGCCGTTGCCGGGGATCGAACCCGGGTCACCCGCGTGACAGGCGGGAATACTCACCACTATACTACAACGACTTCTCTAGTAACTCTGATAATTCTTTACTAATATGCCTTTGGTTACTTTGTTTAACAACAACGAACGTTTTAACATTTTCTATTGAAACTACAGCAAAACCATCAATCAAACGTCTTGAATGCTATAACCCCATAGACATGTTTGTGCTCAGGGTTTTCATGGTTATTCATTCCGTTGTACTATCGTGGCCTGGGAAAAGGGAGCCCAGGGTTTTAGAACAAAGCTCCATTCGCAAATACGGAGTACTGCAGTACACAGATTCATTCCACTACCAGTCGAATCCGCAATACTCAGTTCGGAACTTTGGATGCCAAACAAAATGCTTTACTCATAACGGTCAAACACCGGCACAAAGCATTCCAGTTCTCAAAAAATACGTATAATAAATCAGCAATCTCATTTTACCTCCATTTGTTGTCGAGGCCTCGAGGGTAGGAATCCATTTTTACATACTGAGATCTTTACATGCCCAAGGAGGAAGGAGGGTAATTTCTGAATCAACTACTATCATCATCGCATTGTCAACGAATGGAACAAATAGCTTGGCCTTCAGATGCTGTACAGTATACTGTACAGTATACACTTGATTGCAATCATCTTAGAGGTGGTCTTGAGAATGGAGTCGGCACGGATGATGAGTATGATGATGATGCTAGCGGAACTGTTGAGAATTCAGAGTCTGGACGACCCAAGAGATGTGGCCTTGTGGATGGGCCAGGTGCCAGGTTTGTGGGGCGCTGCGATGGTTGCTGGATGCTTGACGATGTACTTGGACCCGTGGCGGTATGGCTCTCTTCCTGCGATTGCCTTGCAACTTCTGAGGCTTCCCGTTTCTCCCTTTCTTCCGTCTCCTTGAGCAGGAAGTCCACCCATAGGTCTGCGAATGACTGCACATGATGGCACAAGGACACCAATATCAACCATCAGGTTGTAACATAATGCAAAGTACAGCTTAGTGCTTCTCATTGTCTGCTGAATTTTAGAGGTGAAAGGAATAGGATCATGAAAAAAAAAGGTATCAGGCATATAGATCCCACCTGGCTATCCTGAGACGCTTGAGTAGATTTGCCAGATGTACCTCCACCAACAATTCCTCCGACTAGGCGTCCCGGGAGACCCAAAACACCACGGACAACACCCTTACCAGCATTATTTTGTGCAAAACCAATCCTTTGCTTGTCTTCCTCGGAGAAGCCAAGCATGCGGACCATGAGATCCAGAACCTGCCCATATCCAACATCAGCAAATTATTTGATAACAAACTTTATTTTGGAAGTATATATGACACTAATTGATTTGGACGAAGAGCCACACACACCTCTTTGCTGTGATTTCACGTTGGAAGTAGGTGACTAGCAGTTTGATCACAATGCGCCTGCAAGCAAAAAGTTTGATTCTTTTATATGTTGCATATATCATATAGCATCTACTGATTTGTTGGATGAGGTGATGAAAGTGCAGAAAGAAAAGAAAATTCTATGTTACACAAGATATATCTTGTGAAACAGAGAACTTTGGTATAGAACAGAATGATAAAATTTGGAAATGTTAAGCTGCACATGGCATGGTATGACCATAGATTAACCAGCAGTTGAGTTTTGGTCATCGATTCTTATTTCAAAGCTAAAGAAGAAAAGGTGAAAACAAGAGGAATAGAAAACACAATTAGTTTTATTTTACCGTACACACAGGAGAGCTGCTTATCTTTATATTAAGAAGATGAAAAAGGGGCAAAAGAGCCCCAACAAAAGAAGAAAAAAAACCCACACACACCGAGACTCAGTCACTAACGCAAAAGGGGATGACAAGCTACAACTACACCTTTTACAAAAGAACAGAATGACCACAAAAACAGCCGAGGGCAGAGCTAAACACAATCAAGAAGCGGAGCAATCAATAAAGTGATGCCCTTAGATCCAGCCAAACCCCATAGCCTCATTTCCTCAAATGGTCAAAGCCAAATCATTTCGCACAACAGGTGCAGCCCCATCGAAGACACATCGAGTGCAATGATTCCAAAGGGACCAAGCTCCAAGATTCCACTTCTGGTGTATTATTCTCGTACAACGGTTTGGGAATGAATGTTTGTCCATGGGCTCATTTATATGAGCATATTCAATTCTTACTGTTATATCATGTATTGGAGGAAAATTGTCTTCACCAAATAATACATAGCTATCTCTATCATTGGTAACATGGTTTTTGAGGCCTTGTGGCATCCTGTGGCACTAGGGGTACACACCTGGATGCCTTCTAGGCGAGATGCCTAAGCAATATGGTGTAACTAAAACCTTGTGGTGCCATGTGGCGCCTGGGATATGCCTGGACACCTAGGTGACGAGTTGGTACAATGGTTTTTGAGGCATTGTGGCATCCTATGGTGGTAGAAGTACGCCTGAACACCTAGATGCATTCTAGGCGATGCCCAAGCGATATGGTGTGACTAAAACCTTTGTGGTGCCCCGTGGCGCCTGGGGCACACTAGGCAACATGCTACGTGATGCCTAAAAAACCATGATTGGTACATAATTATATAAACCAGGTGTCCTCCATAGATGCAATCACTAAATCACTACAGAAGAAAAAGTAATCATTACCAACCTGTCAACGGAGTTATCTGAATCTAGTGACATCCTATTCACAGTTGTCATGCTTTGTTCTAGTGCTCTCCGCAATCTTGAATTGTCATCCTCAAACTTCTGCATGGATCGCTTCCCATCTACTAACATCCTCTCTGCTTGTGAAAGTTTGGTAGCTATATCTTCCTTCTCCCTTCTTGAAATCTCAATAGTTTGATTTGCCACCTGCATAAAAGGGACATGCCTTACTAATGTTACTAGGCACTAACAAAGACTGAGTATGTGAGCACACCATAAATTTAGGCCTTCATGAATCCAATAAAAATAAGAGGTACAATCACAAGTACTGACGTTGGTCAGTGCTTGCTCAAGCATCTACAAGGTATGCTCTGTTTTTACCTTTAATGACTCTGACAATTTAGACAGTTCTTCCCTAGCAACAGCTAAATCACCTCCAAGTCGTTCCTACATACAAATTAAAGACCATAATCAATCTGACAATATTTAAATTAGTAAGCTTCAAACAAAGAATACCCCAAGAATTCAATCACCTTGGCTTCACTCTCAGCATAGTACTGTCCAAGGGCAGTCTGAAGATTTAGCAGCTCCACGTTTTTTGATTCAAGTGCACTCATACAGCTTGCAAGTTTGTACTTCAAATCTTCTATTTGTTCATTTGACCTCTGGTACTCTTCACTTCACGATCTTTTGTTCTCCTCCTGCTTTGCCATCTCAACCTTTAAAGCCCTCTCTAACTGCATTATATGAGCCCTTTGCTGCTCACAGACTACCCGCAATTCTTCAATGAGTTTACTATCTTCATCCATCTTTTCTTGGTCTTCAAGATCCTAATGAAAGTGAATTGTTAGTTTGCACATCATATTGTCCAGTAAACAGGTTATCACATTAAACATAAAGGTATTGCACATAGCTTGCGCGTGAGGTAGTACAAAACTACAAATGAAGCAAGGGACCACATAATACTTTGCCTTGTCTCACAGTACTACAAAAAAAATGCAAGAAAAAATACAAATACCAATACATGATTACCTTATCTAACAAATGCTGCTTCAGCCGAGCCAGATCCTGCACTGCTTTGTCTCTCTCACGGGAAGCATCCTGTAATGCTCTTTTCAAAGAATCCATCTCTTCCTTAACCTTCACAGTGGAACTACAAGCACATCAGTACTTTTATTCTCTTTTGCCATTAGGTGGTATCACCAGTAATATATACTACAAATCCTTGTTTTGTTGGCCCATAACTCTTAAGTAACAAGTCATCCATAGTGAAATTTACAAACTCTATGATCTTGGCAATTTTCAGATGACTCTTACTAGCAAAAACTGTGGAAAATTCATTTCAGCACATTAAGCAACATATAATGCATTGAGATCTTGATTTAACATCAAAGTTCTGAATAAACAAATACAAGGTTTCAAAAGGTGCTTGGGGCTAGGCAGGTGCTAAGCCACCGATTAGTGCCTAGGGCGCCTAAACATAGAGATTTAGTTGCATAAATATAAAAGGGCGTACCCAGTGCAGAGAGCTCCCGCTTTGTGCGGGGTCTAGGGAAGGGCGTCAGTGGCAAGCCTTACCCTCGCCCGTGCAATGCGAGGAGACCGCGACTGGAACCCGGGACCTTCCGGTCACAGGCGGTAAGACTCTACTGCTTGCACCAGGCCCGCCCTTCATTTAGTTGCATAAATATGAAAGAATAAATAGAAAAGGAAGAGCAATGCCATAAAAGCCCACTAAGGGAGGAAGCCCACTAGTCCATCTGAAGACCATAACACCAAACGATGCCCTACCACCACCAATTCCTAGTAGGCAATCCTTGTGAAGCCACACCACCTCTCCACCTGTGTGCCCCAATCCGTCATTCTAAATCTCCATGGTGCACCACCTCTTCTCCTCCTGCACTCACCCCATCTGCTCCTCCATGCACCCCACCTCTACTCCGCTGTGTGTGCCCCCCTCCCCCCCATGGCACCTCTGCTTTGGCTGCGCTCATGACCCTTTGGAGAAATCAAGCAGAAGGGGCTACATCGAACAGAGGTGAGCATAATCGACCGACTTGGACACCACGAGGTTGGCATAGTCGCATAGATTGAATCACGATACAACAAACCATTTTGCCATCCAAATCTCATCTCTTCTCTTCCTTTCTTCACCATCCATGGGTTCTGACAGTTCATGCAGTGTTTAATTGGACGCCTATGGACTAGGAGCCATGATAGGTCTCTGCCTAGCACCTAAGCGAGTGTTTAACAATGTCTTTTGAACACTGAATAATAACAAGTAGTGTTTGTCATTGAACAAAAAAAGTCTATCCCATGCATCTTCCATAGGCATTGATCACCATTGAAATTATATATATGAAGCACAGCTTAAGAGCAAGATCGTACCTTTTCCGAGTCAGAAATCTTGTTAGTATCAAATGTACTGTCAACAGTTTTTTGTGAGGTACTCTTCATACTCTTGAGATCTGCCTCAAGCTTGACTTTCTCTATCTGCAGAAGCAAATATTATGTTGTCAAAATCTGCAGCGAAGTTTCCATATGTTCATTGTATTAGCACTATATTATAGCAGATGCACGATCTATTCAGACATTTAGGCTAGAGTTCTCCTTCTGAGAGCCATCAACATATTTCTTAGGCTCTGAAGCGATCCGTTCGAGACATGCTCCTTGTCCCTTCTGCTTAAGTCATCTTGAACACGTCTCAACTCAGATTTCTTCTCACTCAGTTCCTTGTGTAGCCCTTCCATGCTAGTTGATATCTGCAGAAGTACATAAGAAAATAATCCTCCTCATGCCCATGGAGTCAAACCCATTACCTTAAACAATAAACATACTGTTGACAGTGGATCAAAATACCTTGGCATCTCTTCCATAGGGAAAAACTTACCCTCTCTTTGTTCATCTTGAGTTCATTTAGTTGCTGCTGAAGAAATTCATTCCGCTTGGTTTCATCTAAAATGTGGAAACAGAAGATTTAGAAAACAAAAGCTCACTAAATTTAATATAGACCGCTAGCTGTTTCAGATGTAACAGTTTGGACTTAGATCAAGCATACCTTCTAGCCTCCTTTTAGTTTCAGTTTCTTTCTCGGAATTATTGCTGAGCTGCTGTTTCAATTGTTTGATTTCATTTTCAAGACTAGCTTGCTTGGTAATCAAGGATGATCTCTCTTCCTCCAATGCACTTCCCTGTAGCATGATTTAAATTTAATGAAGAGAATTGATTATTTTAACTAAGTACACAATTTCTTTGCATGCAACAAATAAAGATATCAAAGCCGTTGTTTTTAACACTTCACCATAGGATAAAAAAGTCACATCGACAGCTTTTAAGTAGAATGAGAGTGTGAAGGGAATACAAACTAGGAATATATAATATACACAGTGTAATGAAACTGATTATAAGTAATAACTACCTTCTGATACCCTGTCACTGGATGCAGACCATTTGCCTGGGTACCGTGAGAAGAACCACCGCCATATCCATTCTGCTTGGTGAGATTCAATGAATTTTCCTGAACTGCATTCCTTTGTGTTCTGGGTGATCTTTCCAAAGTACCCTGTGAGACCTTATGTTAATAGTTTACCATAGTGGCATGTTGCATAATAAATGACATATAGTAACTCTATTAAAGTGAATAAAACACAAAATTACATTAGAATTGGCTGAAACTGCCTTACAGCTCTCCAAGCTTCTTTTAAGAGATCCATTTTCTTCACGAAGTTTTCCCAGTTGTTCCTACAAAAATATGCACACCACATGTAAGAAAGATTGTAAGCCTGCCACGTAAAATCAGTAAATTTGTTTAGCCATAAAGATTAAGCATACGACAGATGTGGAAAGTGGAAACTAGCTAAAAATGATTCTTGCATAAAAAAAATGTATCAACTAAAAATGATCTGGCAAGCAGATACACATAAAAGGGAGAAACAGGGACCTATAAAGAAGGGCAGAAGGCATACCTCTTTTTCCTTCAACATTGCAGCATAATTGAAAGATAATGCCTTTATTTCAGCCTCGGAAGCTTGAAGCTTTTGGATGTCATCCCTCAATTTAGAAATCTGCAAAGGAAAATGAAATTACATCAATTCATACTTACTGCACTGCTTTCACAATTTGTCATGTGGGAATGGAACCAGTAAGATCGGTTCTTAGAATAAGTAGAACCTTGTGCAACATAACAAATAATAGTTCACTTCACAGTTCAATATTTAGAGAGATTGACAGTTCAACAAGTTCCTTATAGTTTACCAGTCCCCAAGGATAGCTTCTGTGCAATATGTCCTGTCTAAGATCACAAGTAACCAACCCCATTTTTTTGCCACATGATATGCTAGGAAAGAATTTACTTCTCACTGCTTTTAACCATCTATTAGAACAAACACTTAGACGTAATACACAACATTGGAAAAAGCATTCTACCAACTTAGATGAACTTATGCACCCTAACTTCGAGCCACGTTAATCACAGGATCAATTACGGAGGCAAAGGCTATATTAACATACACTGATCCCTTACCCACCTCGCTATCAACACCCCCTTAAACCCAGATATCAACACTCTATATATTCCTTTTTCTTCCAACAACAACAGCCTGCTCGTCAATGCGAATTTTTCCCTAGTACATTGTCTACGCGTGCTGGTTGACTGATTGAAATCATTCATACTATCCAAAAGACTTCGGCAGTTGGACTTCGAAAGGTAGAGCTTCGGATCCCGATAACATACCAGACACACAGGAACCTCTACTCAAACCAATTCGCCTGAGGAATTTGCCGCCGGGGGATGGGGGTTTACCTCGTCGGGCTCGGCGGCTTCGGAGCCGGGGCCAGGGCGGGAGTACCGTCGGCGCCTCCCCGACGACGGCGGCGTGGAGGAGAGGTCCCCGCCCCTAGCTGCCGGGGCCAGCGGCGGCGCGGGGACCTCGTCGGCCGCGGCGTCGTCGACCTCGCCGGCGAGCCGGGAGAGGCTCTCCCGGTAGGTCGCAATGGAGCTCCGCATCGCCGCGGCGGGCGCCACCGCTGCTCCTCGTGGCGCGGGGCCGGGTCTGGCCCGATCCAACGAGGCTGAGGGGGTAGGGTTTGGGCGGCGGCGGCGGCGCGAGGCGGGGAGGGGTGGGCGGAGATCTGAGAGAGGTGGGAGGAGTGGGATGACAGTAACGGAAGGAGGCCACACGACGCTGACGAAGACAAATTTTTCCTTTTTTTTTTTCCTCTTTTTCAGTCGACGAACAGTATAACAGTATTTGTAGCCAAGGCTTATCACCAGTCAAACAAGCACAAACAATCAGGGCGTCTATTTTTGTGTGTGCTGCTCTCTCCGTGAACAAAATATATACTCTGTCCGTACTTAAAAAATGAAGTCGTTTGGGACAACGATACGGTCTGTAAAGCATAACTTTGACTACTTATTTTTATAAAAATATTTATCAAAAAGTGATATATATAAATTTTTGTAAAATATTTTTCAAGACAAATCTATACATATGGTTTTTATATTTTCAAACTCAACCACTTAAAAGTTATTCATGATTTATATTTCTAATGTTTGACCCAAGTCTTATCCAAAACGACTTTATTTTTTAAGTATGAAGGAAGTACAGTTTTAAATTTGACTAAATTTATTATCGGGGGCAATACTCAATGTTTTCCTAAACGGTAAACGATCTTTACACGGTCGCCTTTCGTTTAACGTTTAGGCTGTTTACACGGTGTTTAAACGAAGTTAAACGGTCTAAACGGTTTTGTATTTTTTTTAAAAAAATATATAATTATATATGTGCATTTAAAAATCAAGTATTCTAGCATTTATATATGTTTATCCAAGTAAAAATTAATTATTTTGGTATGTATATATATTTATGCATGTAAAAAGAACCAAATATAAATATTTATACATGTAACATATCAAGTCTACATATTTATAAATATAATAAACTTAAGTATACAAATTTATCCATACAAAACTTAACTAGATTTATCTCGTGTTCGCCTAAACGGCCGTTTAAACAACTATTTAGCCCGTTACTGCTGTTTATCTTCGTTCCATTTAGGCCGTTTTTCTTCGTTTTTTTGATCGTTTAAACGATCAACCGTTTAATTTCCGTTTACCCCCCTAAACAAAACAGTTTACCACCGTTTACCGTTTACTGACCGTTTAAACGGTCATTTAATCCGTTTAGACGAATACTGCCAATACTAGGGTACCCGAAGAGGAAGAGATAATAACCATCAACATTGATTCATCCGAGCAGTCAAGAGCGCGACTACAACTCCAACCAACCCCTAGGTGCGCAAGCTCCGCCTCGCCCAGCCTCTGGGGACGGGCTCCGCCTCGCCCGGCACTAAGACCGGGGGCTCCGCCTCGCCCGACACCGAGGCCGCAGGCTCCGCCTCGTCCGACACCGAGGCCACGACCTCTGCCTCTCCCGACCTCTGAGGGCTGGCTCCGCCTCGCCCAACACCGAGGCCGCGGGCTCCGTCTCGCCCAGCCTCTGGGGGAGACTCCGCCTCAACCGATCCCGAGGCTGGGGGATCCGTCTCGCCCGACGAAGACCCATACCACCGTCAACCACTCCAGGTCCAAGCGAATGGGCCTAGGTCAAAGCTCTGACACCAGGGATGTAACCGGCATGTCCCGATATAACCCGTGGCCGTGACGGGCCATATTTGGGATTCACATCAGGAACAACGTCGAGCGTACTAGTGCTGTTCTGCCTAACCCTCGTACGAGCACTGACAGGCTCGTCAGTTCACCACGACATCCGTCAGGACGGAGTGGAGCGCAACGACCAGGAAATGACTCCTGCGCATGGCGCCAATGACGGACAGGGCCACGACGTGGAGCTGTCCCTGTTGATGTCTATAGGGTCGGCGAGACCCACGTGAAGGAAAAGAAGGATCCGGCGGTCCTGGAGGACTTCTTCTCCTTCTCATCCTTCTCTTTTCCCTCCACTGTAACCCGTGCTTTCCCTTAGCCTATAAAAAAGAAAGCACGGCGTCCTATAAAGGGCATCGCAACACATCGCGTCGATTCGGACTAGAACCCATCGAACCCCGAACCGATCAGAACACATAAGCACACAGCTGGGAAGCGACCGAGCTATCGATATCCGTTCGCTCCTCTCATCAGAGACATGGGACCCATCCCCCTCTCGACTGTTTGTAACCTCTACTATGAACTTTCAGTACTAGTAACACGAGCAGCAGCAATGAACTGGACGTAGGGACATTCTGCCCGAACTAGTATAAACCTCGTGTTCTCTTAGCACACCATCCGAGCCAGACGCGCAATATTAGAAATTTACTAGTCGGTGGCAACTCAAAACGCCGATAGTTGGCGGGCCAGGTAGAGGCCTTTTGTGCGTCTCGACATCCACACCAGGCCTTGGATGGCTAGTCACAATCTCAGCTAGGTCCCGGGCGCGTACGTGCGCTTCGGGGACCTAGACTTCATCGTCATGATGGAGGGAGAGTTGGCAACAACTCCTGCCATCGTTCGACCTCTCCACTTCGCTGGCCTCGACGCGATCGCCGATGCGCTTGAGGAGCTGTAGCTGCACGCACCGAAGGCCGACGCCCCCGAAAGCAACTAGCTCCTCGACTTCGACTACGGGAGGTTAGAGCACCAGCTCGGCGCCTTCTTGGGACCTTGACTGTCCCGAGAGGACCTGCGCCACCTCACCTTCTCGTTCGCTAACGTCTTGGCGCAGCTTGGCGGAGGGGAGCCACTCTCTCTGGAATACCTCATCCGGAGTGCCCCGACAGCGCTCCCATCCGGTCTCCGCAACACCGCAGAGACCGATGGCCACCCTATGGTGCAGCGCACACCTCCATTCCCCACAAACGATGAGTTTATAGGGATGACCGAATATGTCACGGAGTCTTTCCATGACCTCATCGTGGGAGAATCAGAGTCGCCCTCCAGCTCTGACTCCAACAGGGGGAGTCATCACCCCTCTCATGAGTGTTTCATGGTGGGTACCCCCGAGAGACACGTCAAAAGCATCCATGAGGAAGAGGCTACCCCAACGAACGACCTCGATGATGAGGTCAGGAGGGATGCAGGGGCCTTGCCTCGCCTGTGGGTGAAGTAGCTGAAGGCCCGACACCAAGAGCTCGTGGAAGCGTGACTCTAGCTTGAGCAGGAACGTGCGGACCTCGATCGAGAGATCAAGCGCCACGGAGATGGTGGGCGTGCATGCGCCATGGCCTGCGATGTGAACTAGAGGATCATCGATGATGATGAAGCACTCCTGCACTTCGCTCGGGCAAGCCAGAACAATGCCGCTATGGCAGCCTTACTCCGAGGGCTTCCGGGTTCCGCAACGCCCAAAGATCGTTGGGCCCATTGCGAGATTTGCACGCTACTCAAGTGTGCGGCGGCATAGCAGGCCGAGGGCTCGCTGTCTCAGCAACATGAGCTTGACGCCAGCCAGCGCACGCCCTCAGAGTGACCCGATAAGGACGTGTCAGTCCACCAGGTGCCACAAGGCGGCAGGCTACGCATCACGGTCCTAGTACATGAGCGTCTCGGCCGCAACCGTGACATGCGTGACACCCTCGACGCCCGCAGGTGTGCCCACGGTGATCCGAGGGAGGGAGCTAGTTGTGGCTACCACCCTCGTCGTGGCAGACGCTATGACAGTGGCGAGGACCGAAGCCTGAGCCCCGACCTACCAGGACCTCAGGCCTTCGGCTGACATATCTTCAATGTCGCCTTCCCACCACCGTACTGACCACCAACCAACATCCCAAAATACTCTGGGAAAATGAACCTCGGACTGTGGCTCAAGGATTTATCAGCTTGCTTGCCAAGCCAGTGGAGCGGATAATGATGACTTCATTATCCACAACCTTCCCTTGTTCCTGGCCGATTTGGTGTGAACATGGTTGGAACACCTTCCGCCCAATAGAATCCAAAGTTGGGCGGATCTGAAGGAGATCTTTGTGGGAAATTTTCAGGGCATGTACAAGCGTCCTGGGAACCCATGCGATCTAAAACCCACCGGCTGTAAGGTCGGAGAAAACCTTCATAGTGCAACGAAGCTGCCCAACATCACCGACGCCGACATCATAGGAGCCTTCCCGTGCAGGACCACCATGAGTCCCTGGTTCACAAGCTGGGATGTAAGGGTCCGCAAACCACCAAGGAGCTCCTTGACATCGCCACTAGCCATGCCTCAGGTGAGGAGGCAGTCGGAGCGATCTTCGACCGCCTCTAAGGCAAGGCAAAGCATGATGAAGACATCGGCGAGGGCGCCTCCAACCGTCCCGGCAAGAAGAAGAAGAACAGCAGCGGCACAGCGAGGGCTCGCTCGTGGCCACCGCCGACCGCAAAGGGGGTTGGAAGCCTACCGAGGGTACCCTGATCCACTTCAAGAAGCTGCTTGAAGGACCATGCCCGAACCATTCTTTCCCCATCGAGCACCTATACAAGGACTACGACCTCTTGAAGCGATTCTTGTCTAGAGGCTCCAATAAGGGGGAGCACAGGAAGGAGCCCAGCTAGATGAAGCGTGCAATATTGCCCTCCTCCGCTCGGCCATGTGCCAGCCAAAGCGTTAATGCGGTACCATAGCCGTCGAAAGTGGGTCGGGCCTTCAACATCAAGACCTGTCCTCCACCTCGTCTAGAGCAAAGAGGACCGCCACAAGCTCTCTCCACTGTGGGAGGGACCATACGTCATCGTGGAGGTGTGCTCCATTTGGGCGCTTACAAGCTCAAGACCATCGACGGTGGAGTCTTTGTTAATGCTCGAACATCAAGCGCCTATGTCGCTTTTACCCTTAATAAACACACACTTTCTCTTATCAGTTTAGCTATCTAACTCCCCGACCTTTAGTGACACCCGACCCCAGCAATGATGGGGGTTGGGTCTCACTCGGGGGCTAATAAGAGCATACCTATCCGGTAGACATTCTCTACATCCAACCTTCTCTCACGTTAAGGCCCAGAAGCAAGGTTTGCGAAAACGAACGCTGAGTAAAATTGGTCAGACTA